GCAATACAAAAGTGGTACTATCCTCCTCTAGGTCCGGTACTACTTTTTGTAAATGTTGAGTAAAATTGAAATAATCAATTTTCTTTCACAAAAGTAAATACTAATCGCTCAAAAACCGGTAATACATTGAACAATATGTGGTACTATTATGACAAAAACTGGTACTAGTTTAGGAATCGTATTTTTTTAATCTTTCATGTCTTGTTTTTCACGTGGATCGTTATAGTTTGATTTGGATAAAAAATAATTGAAGTTAAACCAAATATGTAGAATTTAGAGTAGTCATGTGTGATGTCTATGAGATGAAGTGTGTCATTCAATGAAATGAAGTGTATTAGTAGTGTTTTCTCATTAGTGTGTCGAGTTAATGACAATTTTAGGATTAAACTCAACTAAAAACATTTTAAATCTCATATAAGCCAATGTAGAGTGATTATGGGTCATGTAAACATCATTCGAGGCCGAAATTTTGTGTTTTTATGTGTTCATTACAAGTAGTACTAAAGACCAAATATCAGGTACTACTGCAATACAAAAGTGGTACTATCCTCCTCTAGGTCCGGTACTACTTTTTGTAAATGTTGAGTAAAATTGAAATGATCAATTTTCTTTCACAAAAGTAGGTACTAATCGCTCAAAAACCGGTACTACATAGAACAATATGTGATACTATTATGACAAAACCGGTACTAGTTTAGGAATTGTATTTTTTTTAATCTTTTATGTCTACCTTTTCAGGTGAATCGTTATAGTTTGATTTGGATAAAAAATAACTGAAGTTAAACCAAATATGTAGAATTTGGAGTAGTCATGTGTGATGATTCTACGAGATGAAGTGTGTTATTCAATGAAATGAAGTGTACTAGTAGTGTTTTCTCGTTCGTGTGTCGAGTTCATGACAATCTAAGGATTAAACTCAACTAAAAACATTTTAAATTTCATATAAAGCGATGTGAGAGTGATTATGGGTCATGTAAACATCATTCGAGGCCGAAATTCTGTATTTTTATGTATTCATTACAAGTAGTACTATAGACCAAATATCAGGTACTACTGCAATACAAAAGTGGTACTATCCTCCTCTAGGTCCGGTTCTACTTTTTGTAAATGTTGAGTAAAATTGAAAGAATCAATTTTCTTTCATAAAAGTAAGTACTAATCGCTCAAAAACCGGTACTACAGTGAACAATATGTGGTACTATTATGACAAAAACTGGTACTAGTTTAGGAATCGTATTTTTTTAATCTTTCATGTCTACCTTTTCACGTGGACCGTTATAGCATTTTGATGATTTGATCCACAGGAAAAAGAAATAAAAAAATGTCACAAATTTCACCATAAAGAGAGCAACATGTACTTTAACAGACCATTTATTCAGCTGCATGACAAAATCAAACTCTGATACAATAACAACACAACCCATTTCTCCTTATGTGTGCATTGCAGAGATATTCTCATCCCACTTACACATAAAGGGTGATGAGGCCTATAAGAAGGGTATGAAAACAAGCCATCTTTTAACAGCTCTTGACTTCCAAATAGTTTTGATTCACTTGCAAACCACAAGTATGACATGGGCTGGCAGGGCTGCCAACAAGAATAACAGATCAAAAAACAAGAATAGGTGGGGAGGGGGAATAATAACTAAAAGTAAAAGATCAACATGAAAACTAAGAAAGCAAAAGAGCAGATAACATCATGTGAAGTGAAGAAACTACTTCAATGCAAGAATCACATCATAACCAACTCAATACAATAACAGTACAAACGCCTATAGAAGAATTATCGAGCCCTCTGGCCCGCTGCCACAACCGAGTCGGCCTCAAGACCTCATCGGACGACCCCGTATGGCACCGGGCTTCACCCGCAAGGCCCAACAACAAGAACATCAGCGCCAAGAGCCAGTCTCGGCCGGCCTACAACCCGGCCCACCTCGTGCCCGAGATTTGCAGCGAAGACAACGACACAGACGAGGAGCAGCTGTTGTACCGAGTCCTTATCTTTGACTCGTTTGTGGCCGACCTGTGCACTCCCGACTATCCTGTCTACGATAACTCCTGATCCGCACAAAAGCTCACCTCACCGTCCACCACAGCGCCGTCCGCGGCAGACCTCTCCCTCCACCGACACATTCTTGCAAAAAATCACGGA